GGCCACGATTATGTGCTGTCGGATGTCCCATAATGAATATTATTATATTCGAATTAGTTTGTTATGGAAAAGTATGTCTCTTCGAGGAGTACCGTGATGTTAATGATATTGTTGTGTTGATAAAGCCTCTACTTGAATAGCACTGTCTATTAGTGAGTATTAATGATTTGCAGTGGAAATGTGAGACAACTACAAACGTATGTATAGTACTCATATCTGGAGATACGTGACATGGTTGGTACACTGCTATATGGATGGTGGCGAAGTCCAGACAGTGGTATTAAGTGACGTTTTCAAGTCATAGGATATATGTAGCGTAACCTTTTACCATTTGCGGGGACCTATAGTATGAAGAGTGCACAACGTCCACTAGTATTTTTATGTGAAGGATACCTTTGCGTCCAGTGTGTTAATGCACGAAGTGCACTGTTAATTGAAGAAAACTACTGTCATGTGTGGAGCGGTTTATCTCGAGGAATAAACTTATCCTTGGATTATCAGGATGTCAAATGTCCTAATGTAGGTCTAATGACTTCATTACATCACGTGCAGGATTGCGGAGTACCTAGGGCCCATCTGTAATACTATTACTTAAAGAGTATTGCTAATCGGGGAGTATGATGATCTTAAGAGTACTTTTTTGTCTCCGGTACTGATCTTCCAGGAGTGCTATTGTTCTACGGATACCATCCGATCTGAAGTTATGTTCGTTTATTAGTAGGACGATATCTTTGGTACTACTCTTTAAGAAGTATGCTTGTCCATGTAATACCGTTATGTTAACAATACTGTTTTTCGGATAATACCTCCCTTTGGAGTGCACAGTTGAATGGGAAATATGCAAGAGTGGAGGTATCATTTTGTAAAAAGTACATCAATATATGCCGTACTCATATCTGCGGAGTGTCCAAATGCGTCGTATATTACTATTCAGAGAATGACGGAATAACAACAATATGGTTAATTAAAATATTCAGGGGGATAACATATATAAAATAGCCTTTTATCTCTTGCTGAGAGTTAAAGGATGGAGGGTATACCAATTCCCATAATAGTCTTATATGAGGGATATTATGCTGTGAACCACATGGACCTGTCCAGTGTTTCAACTTCTGAACAGCATTACAATTATGTACCAGATGCACTGCCTAGATGACCATGGCTGCTTTTCAGGTGCCATTATGTAAAGCCTCTGGATTTAACTTTAAAGGACCAATAGTATAGAGTAACGAATTGTACAATCCATAAGAAATGTTACCGACACCATTTTTTTCATTGTATTATGGTGCCAGGAATACCATAATGTGAATGCTATCCCTGTGTGTGAAATATCCATATTCTAGGAGGATCATTATTTGGAAAGCACTATTCCGTCGAGTGTATGGATATTGAAGCAGGATTCACGCGTGTACAGTACGGATGTGTATGGATTCTGAATGGTGATGATTACGGAAGTTGTCGTATTGCTGTTATATGAATTTACTAATGGTTGATCTGTGGTAATATTTGTTGTGCATTGTTTTCTTAATAGAATACCTCCGTAGGTAGTATGCATAATCGGAAACCATATTTTGTGAGTATACTAATATGTGTGTAGTACTGTCCTTTAGGAAACACAATGGTGCACAGGTTATAGATGTGCCAGGAGCACAATTATCTGAAGGGTCTGAAAATCGAAGCCCAGGATCTTGGCTTGTATTATACACACAAAACTACTGTGTGGAACTCGTAGCAAACCCTGAAGTATTATTATATTAAGAGTGATGCAATGTGTGAAGCTCCGAGACTTCAGCAGCACCATTTTATCAAGTGTAGAGATATCCTTAAATTACGGATGTGTCAGAATAACTTCTTAGCTTCAAGTGTTGATATTCCCAGAGTACAATCATGTGAATAGTCCCCTTGTGTGCGAAGTATTGGTATGCCAAGAGTTGCATTGTCGGGATTAGTACTATTGTGCGCAGGGCACTATGATTTAAATAGTAGTGACATGGGGAGGGTACCATTATTTTTACCGTGTTTGTGTGTCTCGAAAATACTATTATATAAATGACACACTGGATAAAATTCACACATATACGTGCTGTAGTATTATATAAACACCACAACTCTGTAAGGTGCTGGGACCTGTCGCATGTGTTAATGGTTGTGAAGTATAAAGCTGTACCCCCAGTATTATTATATGAGCGTTCAGGGATTATACAGGTACTGTACGGACGACTAAATCGTTTGAACCTTGGAAGCCAGCTGGAGCAGAATTAGTTGAGGAGTACTGATATACCAGTGTTCATTCCATATGGAAAGCGTGAGTATATGAAGAGTGCCATTCTGTGAGGTCAAGCGACCTCCTGAATTCAGAATTATATGGGATGTACTAATGTTTTGCGAGACTGTTATGTGAAGGGTCCCCTTCTGCCTGGAGTGCCGTCTTCTGAATAACACATCTGTGTAAGGGGTAGGGATATCCTCCAGTGTCACTTTATATAAAGGATATCCACGGGTTCGTAATACTTATATGTCGAAAGTAGTAACACCCTTATTCTATTGGTATTTGAACACAGGATGTACACTTGGGGTACCATTACTTGTACAATACTGGTGTGGATTTCCCTTGGTAGTGATGCGCGGGGTTATACGTGTACTATTATTATGTCAGGAGAACAGTCGTCCATGTACTAGTGTATGTGAAGGATTCAAGGTTTATGCCTTCACTATATGAATAGGAGTGTTGTGTGAACTGCATGGATATTCCAGTATAACTATTGTCTGGAAACTGTGGATGTCTCTGGATCATCGATGCTGAGGAGTCTGGAGATCGGCATACTACTATTCTATAAAGGTACGAGTAGTGGAGCTATATGCATCACCTGGAGTGCTATTATACAGACGGAAGCATGATGTGTCAAGTGCTTTGCCTTTATGAGTAGGATTACCCTTGGAGTACGATTCTTTGATAGAGTACGTTAATACAGAAAGTACCGTCCTGTTTACAGTACTATTGTGTGGATAATACGTCCATTTGAACAGGATATTCGCTGAAGGAGTATTCATGACTTGAAGTACTCTTATGGGGACACTACAGATGTATGTATAGTACTCATATCTAAAGATGCCTGATATGGCTTGTACGATGCCATTTGATGAGTGGCAAACTTAATCCCGTATTATTAAGTAAAGTAAGGGGGGATGTAGAATTCATGAGTTACCTTTGTGCCGTATGAGGAGGTGCCACCGTTACGCAGTGTGTGAAAGTTGCCGTAGTACGTCCGTATAGAGGGTACCTTTGTGTAGGACACATGGAGGTGTGAATTGCATTGTTAGTTCAAAAGGACTAATGTTATGTACAGAATAGTTTGTCCTGATCAGTACAGCTGTCCTTGTAATGGCATTATTTCAGGAGTCTTTATATTCGTTCCATGGCTCTATGATATCAATTTCGAGGTTCCCCAAATCCCAAGGGTTTCCTCGGATCATATTATGTACATAATAGAACTATGCCAGAACTAATGTAATCTTAAAAGTATTATTGTTTGAAGAATACTGAATTTTGAGGAGTGTCATTATTCATAGGCCAATATTCTATAAAGTACCTAGTTATTCCACGAGAACAGATGCCAACAGAGTACTAATATGTCCGTATTTTGAATGTTAAGGATTACAAAAGTTCCCGTAGTACTGTTATATGAATGTATTAATGGTTGAGCTATACTGATATGAGAAGAGTACTGTTCATTTAGGAGCATAATTGTATAAAGAGTACGTATGCTTTGCAACACGGTTATGTAGGAGTATTCATATTTCCCTAGTCTGATGTCTTGTGATGCACGATTGTGGTACAACTGTTAATATCGGCAGACCACAATAAATGGGAGCGCCCCAACTTCAGTGCCTAGTGTTTAGCCTTATATTAAAGAGAGAACACTGTAGTTCGAATTCCCTAGAGGTTTCTGGAGTATTATTATATTAACAACCTTATAATGTGTGAAACTGCAAATTACAGAGAATACCTTCGCAACAAATGTAAACATGTGCGTGAAATAATATTGTGTAACAATTACTTATTGGCTCCCGGTGTTTACATTCCGAGAGTACTATTATGTGAATAGTGGCGACATTTGCGCAGTATTGATATATTAAGAATGACGTTATAAGGTGAATAGTACTATACCATGAATACTATGGTTTAAAATGTAGGATCCAGCATACCCTATCGTTATCTTTATCCATTGTCGATGCCCACAGTGATATTGCATGAATAAATCCATTGTATGAAGTAGACGAATATACTGGGTGTATTATTATAGGGAAGTTATGATTACATAAAAAGTACACATGTGTCTAAAGTGTCAGTGCTGGTAAAGAATACAGCTGCATCAGGAATATTATTGTATAGCTTTAACGGTTATGTTGTTATTGTAAGGAAGGGAAAATATTTTACAACTAACACAGAGCTTGTAGCACATTCATTTGAAAGAACTTATTGTCCCTGCACTCATATCATATGTGGAGGGAATGGAAAATGAGAAGTGGCATTCTGTGGAGTGCAATGATATTCAAAATACAGTATTGTATAAGGGATACGGATATTCTCAGGAACCGTCCTTTGAAAGATAGGGATTCTCCTACAATATGCCCATCAAAAATGCAAAAGTGTGTGAATTGCGGGCTACCTTCTAGAGAGAACAGCAATCCATTAATTACGCGCAGGTGCAAGCGCTATAACTGTCTCAAATGTATTATTACCGGAGTAATACAATAGAAGCAGAAATACTAGCATATGGACAATGCAAGGATTCTAGCGGAAATGTTGTTTGTAAAGTACAGTGTCGCAGGAATGCTTCTATGTGGAGGCCTCATAACATAGCGTTTTAGATACGACTAATTGGAGAACGTGACTAATTGAGGAATAATGACTTATGTTTAGTATTATTTAAAAAATATCGCTCCCCCCAGGACTACGGGCCTGTGGAATGTACGCTTAGCATACAGCCCTATTCTATGAACCATGCGTCTATACCTCCAGTATTATTTTGTGTACTGTATACATGTCTCCTGAATATTATTCTGCAGCAGGTTCATATTTTACAGTTTTCTTATTTGGAGACTATTATTGGCTGAAGATAACACATCTCGATGGGGAACCATGATATCAGGAAAATAATCGTGCGAGTTCTATGACTATGACTGGAATAGGTTTATATGGACCAATTAGCCCAACGACTCTTATTATTTGAAGAATAGAATTAGGCGGAGGATATACACTTCTTTGGAAGACTAATATATAAGGAACACATTTTTCGCGACCATTATTAAGTATGTGAGAAGGAGACATTTCTCTAGAGTATCACTGCATAAACAGTAAGAGAATCCCCAGAGTTCCTATTATGGAGTCATCAAGATTTAAAGCAAGAACCACCATAATTTAAAAAGAGATATTTAGTAAGAGATAATAGAGTGGATGAAGCGGTATTCTTGGAGGGGTTTCAATCACTGAGCGTTACACATATATAGAAAATACGAGATGCCTGCGGTATATTTGTATTAACTCTAAGAATCGGCCTCCCAACAGCTGTTTAGAGGATAAGCTTCTGTCAAGGCTAATATTCTATGTAGAACAGTGCTTTGTGAAGAGAAAAATTGTTTAAGATAATACAAAGGTTTGGAGAGTCGAATTCCATGAGGAGGACGGCAGTTGTAGAAATCATACCATTTCACCAATACACTAGCTTCTAGAAGAAATCCATTCCAGGAATACGCATATACAAATCCTAGGGCTATTCATGCTGTATAGGAAACTGAGGGATACTATAACTAAGAACAGTTTCAAACTACCAAGGATGCTTATATATAAGGGAAACT